GGGCGGAGCCAGTCTGTCATCAAAAACAAAACAAGGCCAGCATGTGGTCCCTCACGACTTACAGAAAAACAAGACAGAGTCCCTGCACTGTTAATGATCCCCCCCCCCCCCACACACGCATAATATGCTTACACACAAGGCTAATACACACCTGTAGACTGTTATACAATGAATACACAACCACCAGTGTTGTTCAATTCATGAGTCTAATCAAAATCAAGAAAATGTCATGCACAGGAATGGGTGTGAAAAGACAGGTAGTGTGAATAAGCATTCATGTAAGCCAGTCAGATGACGCCAGTGAGATCCACAAGTGTTATGGCGCATCTTAACACAACGACACAAAGACTCTGCAGTGCTAAAGACTAAAGAGAATAAATGTGTGCTCCATCAGGGACTGATCTAGGAACAGGCAGATGTATGTAAACTAAGCCAGCTTTTAATTTATATACAATCAAAACCTTTGATTAATACATAAATACACTGACAACTTTCGTCAATATGCCAACAGACGCCAGGACAGGGCTTGGATGAGGTCGCCATGCCAACAGGGCAAGGGGTCTAAGTATGGATGATCTGATGAGTCAGGAAAGAGCACTATGATTATGCTAATGATAAAATCTGATAGCGGTCAGCCAACAAGACCATCTGTCCCTGCTGGGGCTCAGGGGGAAACTCTGAAGTCAGACTGAAGCGTTCAACCCAGTGTCACTGCAGAGGAAAAACACAATGGTCTGATCACAGAGACAATCGTGCATGTGTGTTTGTGTGTGTGTGAATGTGTTTGTTTGCCTGACATCACTGCCAGTCAGGGATTTCTGAAATAGCTGGTGCTTTAGAAACACTGTATTCTTTTTAGAGGAACTAGAGTTTGACGGAAAAAATACATGAAAAAGTCCTCCATTGCCATCACTTAACACTAATTAAAATCTCTAGCCCTAAATTATGATAGCAAATTATCGATGAGCAAGAAAGGATGAGCAAGGTGGGACAGGCTTATATTTGCTAAAAGTCTCTGAATATAAGGTTTATCTCTTCTGACTATAGGAAGATATAGAATAAATTAATTAAATGAAATTAAAAACTGTTTCAACATCCATCTGAGGACATTTAAACACTAGAGGATAAATAGTGTTCAATAAGACAAGGTTTCACAACCTGGGGGTCATGACACCCACCAGGGGTCGCCAGAGCTACTTGATTATAGGGAAACTACATTTAGACTTAACTAAATTTTGAAAATAAATGAAATTAACTGAAACCACATTCATTTTTTAGAAAAGAAGAATGTGTCCTGTAAGAACAACCAATGATATGACTTACGATATGGAAAAAAACTACATTATGAAAAAAAATAAGGGAACAATACAACAAAAGAAAACAGAAGTGCAAAACTTTAAGTGAAATAATGAACTACATCTGGCCAAACAAACATGCATCGAAGGATGGAAAACTGCTAACGCACGTCTAATCTAAACTGACTAAACTGCACTGGTTAGACATAGGATAGGTTAGAATAATCACAAATTTATGGATTTAATTATCAAGAAATAATTCTCAGCAATTTACAGACCTTGTAATTAGAAAGCAGTACTGGTGCACGGAGGAATCTCACATTATCCACCAAACCAATTTTTCAATCTAGTAAGCCTCAAACAATCCAGTACATATAATTAAAGGCATAGGTCACCCAAAAGTGAAAATATTGTCATTATTTCCTCACCGTCATGTCATTCCAAACATGTATGACTAATTTTCTACACAAAAGAAGATATTTCAAAACTAAATGGGGTCCAAACAACATTGCACCCCAGTTACTTTTTAATGTATGAAGGAAAAAAAAAACACTTATTTTTTGAGTTCCACATATAAAAGCCGATCATACAGGTTTGGAATGACATGGTGGTGAGTAAATCATAACAGAATTATTTTTGGGTGATCTATCTCTATACTAAAGCATTTAGAAATTTGATAACGAACAACATTTCTAAAATCTTCTAAAACGTCTCACAACTTTTCACTGTGTTGCACAAACTACAATACAATTACAGAGAGAATACAGCCCTATAGGGAGTTCAAGCTTATTACCAGGAGCACAACAAATAATCTGACGTAAAAAATTGAAATTTTAAGAAGTGAGCCCAAGTAGTAAAATAATAGAAATAGAACGGCAAAACAGCAGGGGAGTTCATATTATGAGCAACTACTGACCACTCACCTTGTCAAAGAACTCGTAGAGTTGAACAGTCTTGTCAATTTTATCCTTGGTTTCCTCCACTCGCTGGGAGAAATCATGTAGATGGACCCAGAATGAGCGTACTTTCACCTCATACACCTGCAGCTCTGCAGAAGAGATGTCTTCCCACTTCTCTAAGCGCTTGAGGAGAGCTTCACCGCTCTTACAGTGCTCCTGAACACACACACCCAGAATTACGCAGTGAACTGGTATGAAAACAGAGGGTGCGACTGAGGTGACTATATTTAAACAGTCACAAATGTTCTCGAAGCCTAAGTTGACATTATAAAGCAAATGTTTGACACCTGCTGTAAAATATTACCTCTCAGTTCAAATAAAAACATCATAAGGCATTTGCTGAGAAAATATGAGGGCTATGCAAAAAAAAAAAACACATGCAGATGCTGTGGCAGGAGGTAAAAAGGGCTGTGTAAAACAAGTTTAATAAGAGTTGACATACATATGCAGCTGTGTAGAAATCTCTGAAGACAGTCTGCTTATGATGTAACTGCTCCAAGGAATCTTCCAGCTCACTCAGTGTCTGCAGACGAGACTCGCCCACCTCTTCTATCCACTGACTCACCTAAGAGACGACATATACATACAAACAGTTATTCCTGCAACAGTCCAGCTTTACTCTGTTAGTTTCACCCAGAATGACACATATTTATACTCTTTGTTCTCTAGGGCAGTAGACTTTGGCAGTAGACTGAAACATAAGCACACAAACACATCAATCACGTGTCTGTCATCTGATACAGATGCTATGGTGCTAGATTACACTTTCTCATGATGTGCATGAATGTGTGTGTGTGCTTGTCTGATCTGTTTCAGCAGCTTCCACTATATCTATGCCAACAGGATTTCCCCCCCTCTTTCTGCCTGCTGGGCACAATCATCCATTAAAACAATCAAATGAATAAATCACCAGGAGGTCAGTGTGTAGCTTAGTAAGGCTGTTTGTGAGTCAGTGTGCTTGTGTGCAGCACTTCAGTACAGTATTCACTATTTTTCAAGTGTTACAGGTAAATTCACAAGAAAAAACACTGCTAAGAATAAGCCTTGAAGACACAAACTGCCCAAATGGAGTCCAAAAGTCAGAGACTTTTCTAATAAGAAATTTATTTCCTTAACAAATTTGTCTTCCGCGTAACAGAAAATTTTAATTAAAAATGTACATTTGTCTCAGAATTGAATTTTAACTTAGTAGAACTCTTAGTCTTTATAAATCCACATTGAACCATGTAAGGTATGATATTTAGTGTATATTTATAGAGGATATTTATAATAAAGTACGAAAAATAAATCAAAATTATCTATTTTCAAAGCCAATATAAGAAATGGTTACATTAAATAACAGGTACCATTTGCTGAGTCTCAGATGCAGCTGTTATTGTCATCTGTCATGAATACAGTTCAAAATAGCAAGTGCAAAACTTCAGTCCTCACCTCTCTGAATCCATCCTCCAGGGTCTTGAACTCCATTATGAATTCCATTTCCTGTGTGCATTTGTTGGACAGCATCACCAGTCTGTGAACCAACTCGTCCACTTGGTTATACAGACGGCCCGCATTCTCGATGGCATCTCTAAAACACACACCAACAGGATTTCCTTAGCATATTAAATTTAGTCTACATATTGTCTTGAGCTTGTTTCTAATCCCTGAGAGAAACTTCAAGCATCTGAGCTTGGAGAAAACGCTGACTGCAGGACTCACATCTCATTGGCTAAGACATTCTTGTGGAACTCTCATCTCATTGGCTAAGACAGCCTTAGAGAATGTATTGATTGGACAGGGCTTTTAGAGATTGAATGTAATTAGATGTGCAAATTGGTTTTACAGAACAGTCTGGCAATGGGAGACAGTATGGAACAGAGCTGGAGTGTGTGTGTGTGTGTTGTATGAGAAAAGAAAAAGACTATAAATGAGAGAAACTATGTGAGAAGTCATTGACTGTATACTGTGATACGCGTACAAACAGTATGTGAGGAAATATGTATTTCTTTAAATGCATAATTGTGATGAAATATGAGTAAAGATGCATTTTGTGTTTATGTGAATTGCCATACACATTGGCAGAGCACACTGTGCACAGCAGCAGAGGCTGATGTCTACTGGATGACTTCATCACCGCTGTAGTTCACTTACACAATACTGTATTGTGCTCTAACATTTCCCCTCAATGATATGCCAACTAACTCAGTCAAAGAGTGATACACTCTCTGATCCAAACATAACCCCAATGTCAATATTAGAATCGAGAACTATTTTTGAAGAGTTCCACATTCCCATTTTAACTGCCAAAATACTTATCAAAGCAAAAAAGGCTTAATAATGCAGACAGACATGTGGCACATGCATAACAACACAGTCACACTGAACTGTGCCCCCTGCTGTTAGATACACATATTCGCATTTTAAAATAAAGTTATCTCCATGGTAGTTTGTTTGTTTGGAGCTTGACAGCCCTAGTTCCTATTCAATTTCAGTGTGTGGAAAAGAGCTGCATCAGAATTCCACAGACAAAGAAAAGTTACATAAGTTTGGAAAGACATGAGGGTGAGTAAATGATAATTGAATTTTAATTTGGGGTGAACTTTAGGGTGTCGGTTGATGTAAATTCAGTGTTGGAAACAATCTGAGTGTTATACACACAATGAGAGGCATGAGGGGCAAAACGGTGACCTCAGAATCAGTCCAAAACCCACCAATTATTCACAGCACACACCCAGAGCAAACACGGGTTATCACAGCATGCAGGAGATATCAAGACATTCCAGCAGGAGAACGACAAAAGAGTGAGTGAGAGAGATAAGAGTCTAAGGATGGATGGATGAAAAATCAGTAGCCTTCATTATCAGTTCAATGAAGCATTCATAGTACTGTTGATTAAACACATTTGTGATTAAATATGTTACTATATATTACCATACAGATATCTATACCTGGAGTCTCTATTTTATAAACTATTTAATTAAATGAAATGTTATAATAATTAGAAATAATAGTCAACAATAAACAATAATAAAAATATAGCCAATTATTATTGTTATTATATTAAAAGTTTCTAAAAATCATCATCATGCACCTGACCAATTAATACTAGCACTTATCTATTCTATTCAATTCATTTTTTTCTAATTTATACAAAAAACAAAAACCTTGCTATGTGTACTGTGCTAGCCTAACTGAGACTTGTCACATCACTTGCTGTTGCTCTCTTGTTGGTCTGATTGCTTCTATTGTTTTCCTTATTTGTAAGTCACTTTGGATAAAAGTGTCTTCTAAATGATTAAATGTAAATGTAATGTAAAATCATCATCATTATTACTAGGCAAAACATTTTTTGGGATTAATTGTGACAATTTTTTGGATTATTATTCTTATTACTTTTAGTATATATTATACAGTCTGACAAGGACTATAGAGAATAGAAAAAAGAGGGATAAACAAGATAAAATTCCCTGTTTATATATATTTGAAACAAAAATCAGCAGGTTATAGGACCACCGGTGAGTAACAGCGTAATCATTCCAGTCAGTAAAAAAGCAAGGGGTCATAGTTCATCTTCAGGATCCAAAGGAAGTGTTAAAAAGACAAAGTCTAGACTGAGAGGGATTATGTGTGAGGGAAGAAGTAGGCAGAAAAAGGGTCAGATTTGGTCACTATTTTCAAGCACTTTAGACTCAGTCACACCTGTGAGATTGAGTCCTTTGTGTGTCTGTCAGCATCCAGGTGATGCGTTTGTGTGTGAGCGGTTTAGACAGCTAATGTTTCATTTTGGCATTTGTTAGGCAGCAAATGAGCAACTTGAAGTACATGTGCAGCCTTTAAACTATTATTTCATCTAATAATATGAAAGGTACAAAATGGAAATCAGGTTACAGAACCAGAGAGGCTGGCTTAGATTCCTGACGCTTGCATGTTTATTAAGTAGATGAAGACTTTGGGAAACCTAAATCCAAACCCTCAGTCTCAAAGAGCAATCAACCAGGTCTTTATCAGCAAAGACCCTCACAAACACCAGGCTCAGGTGTATGTGTCTGAGCAGGAGGCTTTGAAAGTGTGCTTGAGTAAGCCAGTGTAGACATGCCTGTGTTTTAAGCAAAGTCAAACAGGAAGCAGCACCAGAGCTCTGCTGCATCCAAACCACACTATGTTATCAGAGTGACAGACACATGCGCATACTGGTGTCTGTTTAGCTCTGAGATTATGTGTGTATGTTTCAATATAAAATGGTTGTGTGCAGATAAAGATGTTTCTCTTGGCTTGGCTGTGGGAAATACCAGTCACACTCCCTCAACCTCGAGCTGAACCTAGCCCTGATCATCAGAGGCCTGAACATGCTCTCCCACGCTCTCAACACTTCTTTTCTCTCACATTATCCCTCTCGTTTGACATTCTCATGTCTCTTATAATTGTTCAATTTAGTTCCAAAACATAGTGAACTGCCTCGCTGCCTACTGCCTATTTAAGCAGCATCCTTACTGGAACTTCATTGGTGGTTCATTTGTAATGTTTTACATAGGCAGAAACTCACATGAAGCACACAGGAGACTCAATTTACAACTGATTTCTACACATGATAAGGACTTGAATAATGAGTATGCATATAACATACAAACGTTGTAAAACAGTCATTTATAGTCACTCCTTTTATAAATACCTTTTCAGTATTCATTCAATTACATGTACACTACCTTTATTTTTGCAATAATGCTTTTATTCTGTAAGGATGCATTAAGTTGATAAAAAACACAGTGAAAACCTTTACACTATTCTTTTTTTTCCATCAAAAACTGTTTCCCAGGTTTCACAAACATTTTAAGCAGAACAACTGTTTTCAACATAGATAAGAAATGTTATGAGCACCAAATCAGCATCTCAGAATGATTTCTGAAGGATCATGTGACACTGAGGACAGAAGTAATGGCTGCTGAAAATTCAGCTTTGCCATCACAGGAATAAAAATAAATACATTGTAATACTATTGTATATTACTTTTTTTTTTTTTTTTACTGTATTTCTGATCAAATAAATACAGACTTGATTAGCATAAGAGACTCCCACCCCAAACTTTTGACTGGTATTGTATAATAAGTATTCCTCTTGAATTTATTATTATTTTTAGTGTTTCCCAGAGTGTATTCTGGGACTGCCTTTTCTAAAAAGGACATGTCATGTTGCTTTTGACCAAAACAAGGTATATTAGGAGACGGCATAATTAAGTAACCAAACTTTTGTGATGTGTGCAGTAGGTTGAAGGTGCTGTCTGTATCATCTTGTCTCACCTGTAGTCCTCTGTCAGACTGACATTGGTTTCTTCTTTTCGCAAACAGGACAGAGCGGCTCCTCCCTCCAACTGTAGCCGCACCAACCTGCTGTCCTCCAGAACGGTCCTCATCAACTCTCTGTACTTACACAATAAGATCTGTGCCTCCTGCAAACATACAAACACACACATTTATTACTATAAAACACAGACACTGCACTATAGCTGCACACATTCCCATACACCTTATTATTACATATACACATCTTATCTACTGTTCTCACCGAGTAATATCTGTCCCTTCTCCAGCACAAACACACACCCCATCATTATGTTCCTGCCTCACAAACTCCCTCGACATAGAGAGTAATATCTGCGGTTTCCACAGCAGCACACATTCCCTGTACACACTCTCATGCACAAAGGCAATATTATATGTATTAAATGATATCTACACCTCCTTCATCTAATACCAGCTCATGTTTGTGCTCATTAAATTATCAAATGAGTTTAAGCTACAGTACAATGTGTTATACACATAACTGCCACATCTTCGGGTGTGTGTTGCCATTTTACTTAAAACTGGATTTTATTCTTAATACAACACATGTCTTGCACTTTATGTACTGACCCCCTTTGGTGTAGATACAGCATAATGATAGAGCAAATGTTACCAAATTCACTGTAGAAATGTGCACAGGTGTATTCGTAAGCCATGTTTAATTCATTACATAACCGTAAGTTGGCTGGTCATCAGATTTGAACAACAAACCCCATGAGGGGTGACCCACTCTACATAGAACAAAACAGGTTTTCTAGGCCACTGATATGATTGGAGTCATCCCAGTGTGAGTGCACATTACCATTCAAAAGTTAAGTGTCGGTCTTAATCTAAAATATTATTATAATTTTAAACAACCGTTTTCTATTTTACATTTTTTTAATGTAATTTATTCCTGCGATAGCAAAGCTGAATTTTCAGCAGCTCAAGTCTTCAGTGTCACATAATACTTCAGAAATAATTTTAATAAGCTAATTTGCTGCTTGAGAAACATTTCTTATTATTTTCATTGTTGAAAACAGATGTGCACGTTAATATTTTTGCAGAAACCCTGATACTTTTTTTCAGGATTCTTTAACTGAATAGAAAGTTCAAAAGAACAGTATTTATTAGAAAGAGAAATATTTTGTTAAACTGTCAGTTTTTATCAATTTAATGCATCATTGCTGAATAGTAGCTAATTTCTTTAAAAAAATTATGACTTTCATTTGAACTTATGTACATTGTACATAAGAGTGTACATGATTTGAAACACGGTCATCTCAAGTACTAATACTTTTTTTATCTTTTCAAGTGTAAAATGTTTCAAATGGTTCAAATTACTTGGCACACATTTACGTTTCTGAAAATTGCCTGACAAAAGTATTGAAACCACTTCTGAAAGTGGTTCTTGATGGTAAACAAGGGTCATAAATTAGCAAAATGCCAACTTAATTAAAATCTAAAAAGGGGTAGTATTTGAGGTATAATACTTTTTTGGGGGTATGAGCCTATTTGTGTGTACCACCCAGAAAAGCATCCATAATACCTACCCAATGATGCAGATGGTGGTCTGACCACACTATGCAGAGTTTATAAGGCACTAACAAGAAAAGGTTATATTAAGGTTATAAGTGAATTTGAAAAAGTACTCAAAGTGATAAAAAATCTCAATTACTGTCATGCATCTACACCCTAATTAGCATGTGTGTGTGTGAAGTGGGATGAAACTGTAGAGCAATTACACAAATTCCAAATGTCAGTGGATGTTTCTGTTTTAAAGCCTATTTGCAGTTTTTTTTTAACAGAACTGCTTTAAAACTCTTCATAGACACTGTATATTTAACTATTAAATGGATGAAAAACTGAACATATGTGAGGTAGTGCTGTGTTCGATACATCGATAGACGATGTATCGTCACAGAGATTTGACGATACGTGTATCGATACAGCTGTCCCTGTATCGATATCGTGGCACGTGTGCAGCAGTGGACCGCGCTTAATTTGAATACAAGAACACAGTTTAAAATGGAGTAGAAAAGTGCGAGGTTTCTAAAAAATAATGAATAGAGCATAATATATAGGCTACAACAAGGTTTAACCTGGCTGCAGAGGGGAACACAACCGAATATTGTATCTGGTGGGGAGTGCCCAATGTAAACATGAAACATATGCCATTACCTATATTGTACTGTGATACAGTTATGGAGGCCCTTCATAATGCAGAGGTCAACTGCCTGCTCTGCCAATAGTTAGAAATGGCCCTATAGTATGCAGTGTTTAATAAACAGTTGTTTTACTAAATTCTGCTGAGGTGAAATTCAGTGCAGTCCCGTATCGTGACTTTGCTGGTGATACACAGCCCTAATGTGAGGCTTATGTGGAAATATAGGGAGAAAATAACATGAAAAGACATGAAAAAGAAGAGGGCACATGTTCAGATTAATGGAGGGAGACAGAAGACAAAGAAGAAACAGCCAAGAAATGAGAGGACAGGCCGAGACATGTTTTGGCTTTCTATTCACCAGCTCCTTGTTGAGAAAGATAATGTAGCTCTTGAGCGATTAAGCTATTTTATTGATAAAATTGCAGGGCAGTGCTAAAAAGTTTGTCTGAGTGCTAAAAAGAATGTCTGAGTGAAGACAGCGCATTAGTTTAGAACTCTTCTAATTTTTATTTGTATTTTTTTCAATGTAGAAAGTGTTTTAATTTGTGCAATGATAACCTACCAGCAATGTAAAGATGATTTTTTAATATATTAGTATGAGTACATTACAATATAAATTTATTAGAACGAGTACATTATTATAAATCGACGCGTTTCAGAAAGGCGGGGCATAGAGGAGCAACAATAATGTACATTATGTGGAAAATAATTTGTTTTTTAAACCTTAAACCGCATAAACACATTGCATTACACCAAATACACAACATAATGTTCTTTTTAGCATCGTCATATCACCCCTTTAACATCCAAGCATCACCTCATCCACAAGAGGGGCTGTTTTAGCATTCAGCACAAAGTCAAGCAGAAATCCATTCCCTCAACCACCAGACCCTTTCTGCCTCTCCATTCTACTCTTCAAATCAACCCTTTGAACGTGATTTTAAAGATGGCTGCAGATAAACACCCCTCTGGGAGATCATTATTTCTCCTGAGGCCCTGTTTTTCCCCAGAAGCCTGTGGATAAAAAGGTCCTTTGTGACCTCCACTGACAGCCAGAGGACAACTTAGTCAAAGCCTTGACACACTAACCCTAACCACAAACAAACCAAACCTATTTTTCAAAACTAGACATCTCTTCTAAATAGAACAGTCTTTAAATCACCGTAACTGGACACCAGTGCCACTGCTGTGCTTCATGGAAACAGAATAGAAGTCTCTCAGACTCAAAATAGAAGATTGTGCCATTGTGATGCCCTCCTCAGGTAGAGTTCACTATCAAGCTGACTGATGCAGGTAGTCATACGGAGTCCTCAGGCTGCATTCTAAGTAAACATCACTAAAATCAAGAGTTTGGGGGCCTAAGTTGATCACAGACAAAGAATCCACATATTCCTCAAACAATAGACCATAGCAATGCCATGAGTTCGGTTTCCAGGGAATGCAAGAACTGACAAAAATGTCTACCTTGAATTCAATAGAAGACGCTTCGGATAAAAGAGTCTGCCAAGATATATACATACAGTACACAGCTCTCTCATTCTGGACAGGGCTGGGACAAAGCATTTTCTGTGAGACTGCTCAGCTGAGCTGTTTTTAGAAAAGTATTTTATTGACTCTTGCAGTACCTCTGCTGTAGGTGGCAGCACTGAGGACTCCAGTTTGCTGATGGTGTTCTGAAGCAGGTTCACAGCATCCTCACAATGGCTGGTAAGCTGTTCCAACCTCTGAAATATAACAGAAAGAAATGTTTAGAGTAGTAACAAGAAACCAATAGTAAAAAAAAACTCCATAATAATAACCAAAAGTTGTCAGATATGGTACAACATCTAAGATATGCATATATATGACTGCACATGAAATTATTTATATCTAAATGTTTTAAGTTGTCTGTCAAATATAAATATATTAATTGGCAGAGGAACTGTTTATTGTGATCATTATTAATACATTTAAACCACTGAACACTTTTATTATATTATGGCTGCGTGGCCTTTTGTGGCTTATTTCTTTATTAATCCATATTAAGGCTGGAATGCAATACACAATTTAAAAAATCTGAACAGATTTTAAAACACAAGGCATCATACACTTGGCAACTTTTTTGAAATGGTTACAAAGAAACTTGGCATAATACACTAAATGACTGAGGATCACACTCCAAGGGATTTTCAAGTCGTTCCTGAGCCGTTTCTAACATTCGCAGAAACGTGTCTCTTTTTTTAGGAGGCACATGACAGATTTAATACAGAAAACAATATGTGTTCTAAAATCGGCTAAAAATATCAAACATATTTAATATCCTCTGACTGAGCAGATTCAGGGTAAAAGACATGTAGTGTATTCCAGCTTTCAGTGATATAAATGATGAAGATGATGATTTTCTCACCATTCTGAAACAGATCCAGCTGCTGTGTGAATAAGGGAAAGTGCCTTCAAACTCAGTGGGGAGTTGAGCGATGTCCACATGCTTATAGAGAGATTTGAGCGATGTCAACAACTCCACCTGACAGATGCCAAAAGAACACAACAACCCTCAGGTTTAACTTCTGCATTAAAAGGGGACCAATATGTATTGCAGTGCTATCATAAACACTTCAGATGCCACAATAGCTGTTCTAATAGCTTAGATAGATGTCTGAGCTACACTATCTGTCCAGCTGTTGTGACATTCTCAACTGAAGCACTTTCCTACGTAGCTACAAGAGTCTATCTATGGCAGTCAGATTTGTGTCAGGCACAAGTGGCGTCTCAGTACAGACACTTGTGTTTTAAAATAGCCATCTATTTCTCAGAGAGTGCAGAGTAACTAGCTGAAAGCCAGATTTTTGACAGTGCTGTTGGATGCGGTTTGTTTCTATAAGGGGGGTCACTATGCTCTGGAACAAAACCATTCAGCTACATTTTATTAAAGGATGTTTTTCTCTTTTCCTTTATCGCTAACTAGAACCCTTCAGTAAACTGACATTGTTCTCCAGGGCCTAAAGGTCAAAACTGACTCCATTTCCTCTCCTATAGACTAAACTATGGATTTATGTTTGTATTTTCCATTCTACCACCCTCACCACATAACATAACACAGATGTTGTCTTTTGCTGTTATTGTTTTGTTACTGTGTTACTGTGGCTGTAAAGTCATGGCAAGTTACAGATGATGGGTAATATTTGTGCGTTACCGGTATAGAAGTGGTTTTCTCCACACGTAGAGCCAGATCTCTGTCGGCCAGCAGCAGTACTGTATGGATGCATCCCGGCATGGCTTCCTACAGAGATTGAATAGATTAAATATCACAGACAGCACCATAAATTACACATTTCACTGACTAAACCAGAGTTCACCAAAAAATTATTTTGCAGTTCTTTATGATTAGCGAATAAGATTTATAGATATTGCTATTGATACAGATGCATACAGTGGAGCTTGCATTTGTACTATTTGACTATTCCTTAAATTCACAATGAAACAGAAAAAGAGACTTTCTTCTGTATTGTGATGTATATCTGAGAGTAACAGATTGTTGAAAAAGAAAAAAATGCAGGGTGGGGATTTGATTCTATCCATCAGTTGTTGACTGGTGGAGGCAGATCTGAATGTGAGCTTGCAGTCCATTGTTGTAAACAAAGTGTTTGAGAAGACTTCAGTGTACGTCACCAGAGAAAAGCCTGTAGTTTCACTGGAAGTTGACATTTTGACTAAGAATTACGATGTTACATTTTTTAAAAATATGTATGGATGAACTGCAAGATCAATATTATCAATAACATTTAGAAAACGGGGTGAATTTTCATTCAAAGGAGACATATTATGCCCCTTTTTACAATATGTAATATAAGTCTCTGGTGTCCCCAGAATGTGTCTGTGAAGTTTCAGCTCAAAATACTCCACAGGTCATTTATTATATAATTTTGAAAATGCCTATTTTGAGTGGAAGCAGAAACACACTGTTTTTCGGGCCTGTCTCTTTAAATGCAAATGAGCTGCTGCTCCCCGCCCCCTTTTCCAGAATAGAGCTGCGCCATTACAGCTCGGACCTGCTAAAAACATCTGTTTTGGTTCTGATTATCATGTTTATCGCACTGAAATCATGCGAGTTTAAACTTCAGATATACAGTTTTCTGAGCGCATATATCCGAAGCACATGGACAGAAAGCTGCTGTCACAGCATGTGAGTACTAAACTAAGTTCTCATTCACACACAAGTTTACGTTAAAAACACACGAGTTACAAAAACAGTCGGTTATGTCTGTGAAGGTAAACAGCTGGGAAATAAATCGCTTGTTTATTTTAGATCTGTGTGGCAGCAGCAATATACAGTAAATAAATCAATAAATGCACTGCTCTGTTGTCTCCTCTGAGGCTGGGACTCTAAATAGTGTTCTGTGCTCGTCTGTGCAGCCAAAGACAGAACAGTTAGCATGTTTTGCTCAGACTTTCACCATGGCATTAGAGCTGGTACACCGTTGTCACTTGCAAAATCAAAAAGGCAGATGCACCGGGGACCTGATTATAGCACTTAAAACCTGGAAAAGTCAGATTTTCATGATATGTCACCTTTAATGCCGACTTTAAATTAGACATTTACATCATTTAACAGAAGTTTTTAAAGGTTACATAACCTAGCAGACAATTTTCTGTCATGTGCCCCAAGAAATACAATAAAAGCCTTCTGTCGGTGTGAATGAAATGAGTTATATGCCCCATAACAAAAGAGCAGAAAAACAACACTCTGTAAAAACAGACCAGAGAAGTCTATTATGCCATTTGAGAGCTGTTTTTGTCTGTTTCCTTGTATCCATCATGCATACTGATCATGCACGCATTATCATGCCATCATAGCCACATCAGAACAGAAGGAAGAAAAGCTTTGCTGGAATGAAACAATAGCATATTTAATAAGGAATATTTAAACATAAGGAATGTTCCAGAAACATCAACAAACTCTTCAGGGCACAGCAGTTTTCATTTTCACTTTGCTTTTTGAGTGTATTAAAATAATGAATACATGGTGAGTTTGGATCAGGTTTCCAGTTTTCCCCTGTCATGTGGGGGCTGAAGAGAGGGAATGATAAATGTGGGGACTGTTCCAGGTTAACAAAAGCCTGGCAGAGAATAGAATATTTTGGGATTATACCTTTGGTCACACTTTATATTAGGTGGCCTTAACTACTATGTACTTACATAAAAAATAAGTACAATGTACTTATTGTGGTCATATTTTTTTGCAAAACACGTTTGCTGCTTTTGAGGTGGGATATGGGTAAGGTTAGGAACAGGTTTGGTGGTTTGGGTAGGTTTAAGGGTGGGTTAAGATGTAAGGGATGGGTCAACAGTGTAATTATAAATGTAATAACAGAAATGAATTACAAATGTAACTACATATAGGTATTTTTAAAAATATAAGTACAATGTAGAAACATGTATGTACACAATAAGTGCATTGTATCAAATGATTAATTTAAATGTAAGTACATAGCGGTTAAGGCCACCTAATATAAAGTGGGACAATACCTTTTTATTAAGACTGATAAACTAAACTCAAATATGTGTCACAACTACAAATATATCAATCCTTTTATACACTGCTGTTCAAAAGTAAATTTTTTAAAATACATCTATTCAGCAAAGATTCAATTGATCAACAGTGGTGCTAATATAATATATATATAATCAAATCAGCATATCAGAATGATTTCTGAAGGACCACGTGACACTGAAGACTGCAGTAATGGCTGCTGAAAATACAGCTTTGCCATTACTGGAATAAATTAAGTATTAAAACAGAAAACTGTTTAATATATTTAAATTATACAAATAATTAAATGATGAAAAAATTATGTTTTTGCTGTATAATAAGATGATAGTATCAGAGGAAGAAGGAGAGCCCGTGGCTGTTCCCTGAGGACCGTTCACAGAGCTACTGCATTCATTCAGACAGATCTCATCTGTCAGTGTTAGCACTGACCTTGAATACAACGAAAGGTGCTCCAACACGTGACGTTCACATAGTTTATCATCAAGAATCTCCTAAACATTCAGTAAAGCCACCTTTTCCACAAGACAGCACTTGTATGCTGTCATCATGGATTACAGATACAGATAGAAGATCAAAGAGAAGAGAAAAAAATAAATGAAGGAAAGGACACAGGGGTTTTCTGCAGCTGTGCTACAGCTCAAATTAGCAGAGACAATAAAGACCTCTCATAGCAGCCCAGTGCTATTTAAAACAATACTGTCATTAAAAACATTCTCAATTTTACTTCTATATTGCTCATGTTTACCGCTCTCTATCTCACTCAGGAAGTTTAAACGGTGAAGTCTGCACTGGCACATCCTCAATCTTTTAGAGTGGGGCAGGTTGCTGGCAGGAGAAGAAAGCAGCATTAAGGTCCACGGCACAAACTCTAAAGTCACTTCTATTAAATGTGCTCAGGAATCATGTTCCTGCAGTATTTCTTTATTGGTGTCCTCACATCCCTCGTGTAAATGACTGGTGAGGTGATTCAGTCATTTCACTTGAGTATCTTCTACAGTGTAAGGCCACTCAGATGAGATAAGCCATCCACTGTCCATAAACACCCAAAGTAAATGTATATAACGAAATCTGACAGGATATGATGTCCAGGCCAGGCTACACTTGTAAAAGATGAACCTTTATTTAAGCACTGAGATGAAATCTAAGTAGCTAACTACTGACAAGAAAGACTCCAAGTTCTTTATGTCATTAGTAGGGATGCACCGATACCGATACTGGTATCGGTATCGGGCCCGATACTGAGCTCCTGTACTCGTACTCGTACTCGTTAAAATGCCCCGATACCAAACGCCGATACCACACAGCATGTGATAAGTGCCATATTCAGACAAAGAAACACAGACAACAGAACAACAGACAGCAGAATGGAGTTAAGGATGTCTACTACGAAGTATATGTATGCAACGAATATAACGTTAAACTTTCAGTATTAACGCCTGTAGCCTATAGCTGATGTGAACGAGCTGATAAACAAAGCACGCTGAGTGGATTGAGCGCGTGGCGGCGCAGATGCGCGAGCTTGTCGAGTGAAAATATCTTTCTCACAGACATCACTGGAAAGTTTGTAGTTCGGTCGGATAT